TATATATATATATATACGTATATACATACATACGACTGCCTAGAGCAATCATACTTTTATAATTTGGCGCTCGATACATTTGAAGTTCTCCATTTTAAATTGTTGAACAGACATTTGTAACTGATATTACGGTGCCTACGTAATTATACGACTTTAGAGTCGCGCGATTATTCTCTCCGCCCCGAACGAAGGGGAGGGAACATTCTCTTTCGGAGGTGCGGAGGTGGTGAAATTTGACGGATACGAATACGGCGAGAGAGAGAGAGAGAGAGAGAGAGAGAGAGAGAGAGATTTGAAGAGGGCGAAGAAAAAGCTCAAAAAAGAAGAAGGGGGAAGAGGGAAATTCGCGCTTGAGGCTCGGCTCTCCGGCGACGAAAAGGAACGGCTGAGAGGGATGAAACTTGCGAGGGGACACACATCGCACCGCCATCATGCTACCGACTACCCTTTTGCACCACCCGTTCATTCTCCAAACCGAAAAGAAACCAATCAATCGTATCCTCCGTAGAAGACATTTCAAGAGAAACGGACCTCTCTTAAAATTTTAGCGCATCCCGGGACGTTGATCGCTGTGTCCACGATTAATCGAAGCACTATACATAAGCGAAGCGTTAACGATACGACGATAGTATTAAATTTATACACACATACGAATCACACTTGCGTAAACAATTAAACACACAAACACACATCCCATAAACAAACGTACGCATTCATACATATACACTTGAAGCCGGACGTGTCAGTTCCCGAGATTTGCGAGGCACCCTTTTTTCTTTTACTATTATTTTCCTTTTTTTTTTCCTTGTTCCCTGATCGCGCTGACGTACCTCATTGTGTTCATCGTCGATGATCGGTGCCTAACAAAACGAACGGTGGATAGAAATCGTTGATTGATAGAGAGAAGGAGCAAATAGATCGATAGAGAGAAAGGTGCAAAAAGTGACGAAATGTTTTAGAGACATGCGTCGGGAGAGGGGTGTATCTAAAAGAGGGACGTGACACGTCCGCGCGCGTGGCATTGAAGGAAGAAAAAGGAATAAACATATAAAAAAATTATACACGTATGTAAGTAACTTTTAGAGTATTTGAGTAAAAAAGAGGCATACATAGTTGATAGTGTTTTATTAAATGTTGTGAAAAATGTCTCTCGTCTGTCTGTCTGTCTGTTGTCTAAATGTCTGTCGTTCTCAGTCTTTATGTTCTTGATGCACGTTTAGCGTTAAACACGGCTGAACTGTTCTCCTGAGATAATTTATGAGAGCTTGAGAATTTAACAGGACAAGAAATATTATCTTTCTAATCAGACACACATAGGTTATTACTCACGATTGTTTAAATCAGGAACCAAATGGTCACATTTAACGCTAAGAGAGTGTTATCAGAACACCTGTTTGTTTGCATTCAAGAAAGATGTTCTTATCCATCCTTGTTATCCATGTCCTCTTATTCTAACATGATGGTCCTTTTCTTCTTCAATACCATAACAAATTATCTTGAGGTTGGCAGGTAATTTTGGTAATTGGTTCTCTCATTTCAGAGAAAGCTCTTTTGTAACTAGATGACTTGCTCACCAAGAAACTGTCTTGAGACTAGGAGAACTTAGATCCTTTTGCTTTTTAGGTTTAACTATAGAATTGTTTTTCGTTGTTTTCTCTGGCAAATTTTCAATAAAATCGAGAATATGTGGGATGAGGGTCCCTGAGAGCCAAACCCAGAAGTCGCTGATTGCAAGTCGGTCGCTTTCACGCATCATTCTTGATTCTTTTTAACGTCTTCATTTTCTTCTAGTTTAATGATTTTTAAATAATTTGAATTATTTAATTCTGAAAATATGTATTAACTCGTTAATTCAACAATATTGATATCTTTTTATATCATTCATTTATTATTATCGTCAGAGTATTATCATCACTTTTTGAGGAACTAATATTGTAATATGATAGAAGATATTCCTATAAAAAAAATAAAATATAGGCTGAATAAAATTCACGAAAAATATGTGCAAAAAATAATATTTACAGAAGAAAAATTAGAAAAAGTTGTATAATATTAAAAATATCATAGATAAAGTAGTGCAATCCTTAATTCTGCAGTGCACAAAAAATATGCGGATCCAGAAATGGAGAAGCTGCTGTTGCAGTCGCTCTATTTTCTTCAGAAAGCAGCAACAAAAATGGCAAAGTGGTATAGTGATTCTAAACATGGCGCGTGAAATCTCTCTCTCATCACGGATGTTAGACGTGGAGCACAACGTGGAACTTAAGGAAAGCAGAGAGAATCTCAAACTAGATCAATAAAATGGTAAGATTTTGTTGCCATGCTGCAAAATATGGAAATATGCGAAATTTTTTTTAGAATAAAAGTATGCAATAGGTTTATAGTAATTGTTATAAAAATTGTTATGAAAATTTGAAGTATTTTAGATAAAAAAATAATTTTTTATTCATTTATATATATATATATTTAAGAAATTTTAATTTTTTTTTTAAATGTTTTAATTCTATTCATTTTTTATCTTTAATGATTTTAATTAAAAATAAAACTTAAATTAAATTCAATTATTTTAAAGTCGATTTAAAATTATTACTTTTCATTTAATTTCCCACAAATTTTAAGTTTTTTTATCTAAATACTTGTATAAGATTTTAATTATTTTTACAATTATAATAATTAATTAATTTTGCAACTTACAAGCCTTAACATTAAATATCCCGTTTAAAATTATGTCAAATTGAAGTCCTCACGTTTTAAAAATTTTTTCTCCAAAACTAAATACTATTTTAATTAAAACTTAATTTGATTCGATTATCTTAAAGTCTGCCATTATTAACATTAAACATCTCGACAACATTTGTATTAAAAGTCTGCCAAATTAAAGTATTCCTAAAATTATAAATCAAATTTTTCATCCTCGTAAAAGAGACTCGTCGGCTTTGAAATTTTTTTTCTCCAAAACTAGGCGCCATTTTAATTTCTCAGCGTCAGGCTTTGAGGCTCATCGATCCGTCCCTGAAAACCCTCTCCTCAACAAAGCCGAGCAAAGGGGAGCACCTCCGTTACAACAAATGGCGGTACCGTCGTAAGTATCTGCTCCCCACCCCATCTCGTCATGGTGGGAAAAAGTCCGTCACACACCGGTACACATCTCCGGCGTGACGGTGGTTGCCACACTTGCCACACAGTCGCACACCGAGGTCCGACTCGCGAGGGAAGCTCGGGAATCCAAACGGTTGGAAATTTTCCCGGCACGTCGTGGCTCGGCCGTGCGTCCCCCACGGTCCCGCCTTTATACATTTTTTCCTTTCACAATCTCAAGAGCGGGGACCCTGTGTGGCGGTGCCCCGGTCCCCCTGTACCGTACCGTACCGTACCGTGCCGTTCCGTTCTGTTCGCGGGGAACGGCACTCGCTCGCTCGCCCGAAAGAGAGAGAGAAGTCGCCGCCCGTCCGTCCGCGTTCGTTCGCGTTCGTTTGCGAGCGATTCGTCTCGACATACCCGAAAGTATCGGAAGTGCAATTTCGGAGTTCGAAGATCGCACAGTGTGGATCGTAAAGTGAGTGAAATTTCAAGGGAAGGCTCAGAGCGAATAAGAGAGGAAGCAAGAGGGAGGGAGAGAGAG